CTGAAATAACCAGAGTGTTAGACCTGCAATAGCAGCAGTATTATGGCTGCAGTGGACAGAGTATTGTGGCTGGAATAACTGGAGTGTTATACCTGTAATAACTGGAGTGTTATACCTGTAATAACTGGAGTGTTATACCTGCAATAGCTGCAGTATTGTGGCTGAAGTGGCTGGAGTATTATGGCTGAAATAACTGGAGCATTGTGGCTGAAATAACCAGAGCATTATAGCTACAATAACCGGAGCAGGATGGCTTCAATAACCATAGTGTTGTAGCCACAATGGCCAGAGCATTATACCTGAAATGGCCGGAGCATTGTGGCTAAAATAACCAGAGCATTATGCCTGCAATGGCTGGAGCATTGTACTTGTACCTGCAATACTCGGACCATTATACCTCCAATAACCGGAGCACTGTAGCTGCAATAACTGGAGCATTATAGCTAAAAACACTGGACTATTATTGACATTCTAAATGCACAAGGCAGGCGACTGCCCTGACACACACCTGGGGTATGGGCCGGAGCATCCCCTACCAGTCACCCAGCCCCTACAGTGAGGCGGCCGCCAGGACATGGTCGGTCAACCGCCAGTCACTGCTGCCCTGACATCCTTGGGGTTTTGACCCATCCGCTGACCGGACATCCTCAAAGGTCTGGCCTGCATATCCTGTTTTGACTGTGAATGAAACACTCACATTTATCAAATCCTGACAGTTTATTGATGTCATTCATGTTGGCGCCACAAGACAAGCAAGGATGCATGTCGTACAAGTGAGACACCGTGCCATTACATTTGTGGGAGGCAGGCATATCATAGTTCAGACATGTTAAGTTGGCATGCACATCAGCTGGCTCGTCTTCATTGTGAACGGACATCTGGACACCTGAGATGTATGGGCGGGAAAATCAGCAAAAACCATCATGAGTCACAATGCTGAACATTATTGTTGCAAAGGAGTGAAATCTTTTTCGTGCATGGCTCCATGCACTGGCTTATCTGACAGACGTCAGGTTCTTTGGGGCCGGGCATAACACTTGCACAGATGATGTTGAATTGCAAGTACCTGTGTTCGCACGGTAGATTGTTGATGGCGATATACATGGCTCCAGTCAAGTGTGGGCGATTCTCGAGGATCCCCATCCTAACAGAAACTGTTAGTAGTTTGAGCAGAGATGGACAACATACCAGTCCACGTTCACTGTTAGGTGTAGCCCATAATGGTACGACATTAGCTTGGGTGCTGTATTGTGGCTATCTTCAGGGCAATTGCAAATGTGGCCATGCTCGCTAACTTCCTGGACGGTGTGCATGTCAAGCTCATGCCAAACCAAGCCATTGTGCATGTCTCGCATCACAAATTTCTTGTCAGTGTTCCTGTCAGGTGTGTCAGTTCAGCTGTCTCGGATCATCCATGCAAACCCAGGCACATGAACATGCATCGTAGGGGTGCAATAACCAAGGCTTGAGGGTGTATTTTCATGGGTTTTTAAATGTGTTTACCCTGAGCATTGATCCAGTCCAAGTAGATAGTCCCGAAGCAGTTGTTGACAGTGCATATAGGTGACTCCAGAGCAGCAAGATTGTTTGGGTGGTAGTGCTTCCAGCACTCTGGACAAACAGTGTACTTGATGATATGCTCATCAGCATCAATCCCAAGGTGACGCTTGGCACTGATGAGACTTTGGACCGGCAGAGGAGGCTGGACAATCAGAGACTGGCCAATAAACACATTGTTGAGAAGCAAAGACAAGAGAAATGAGGAATTCGCAACTGAGACCTTGTGAAACACATTCTGGAGCACAGATGTCAAGTACATGTGTCAAACCTCTGCTCGCTCCTTGAAGGCCTTAGGGACAAGAGAGGGTGGCTTGTAAGGCTCTTCACTGTTGTCCTCGTCTGGCTGATTGTTTTGAAGTGTGGGAATACGTACATCAATGTTAACATGAGTCCAGAGTAGATCGGCAGGAGGAGGAAGAGGAGGGGTCCTCTCTCTAGAAACAGGTGGTGTCAGCTCATCTTTGCTGCTTCCATCACCGCCATAGTCCATTGGGAAGTCAAAGTTGATGTCCAGAAAGTCGAGTAGGCAGCGTGGATGAGTATTTGGGCGTTCCTCGTCGACTGGAGGTGGGCGAGCTTCCAATACCAAGAGTATTGGCTGAGAGGATGCAGGAGCCCGTGAGATTGTCATCTGAGAGGATTTCTTCTTGTTTTTTTGCCTGTAGAGTTGGATGTGCCGACTGATTTCTTTTGCCGCTTGCATGGTATGACCTGCCAGAGTGCATGCACACCTCACACAAGGGCATGGGGAGCAGGGTATGACAGAGGAGCTTGCACGAGTCTTCCAGGGGCCAGCTTTTGACAGGAGAGAGTGGGTCATCACATGAGGGAGAAAGACAGAGAGCTGTTGTTGTATGCTCTCTAGATCATGCTACAGTATGAGTGGGACGGTGAGCTTGAAACATCTAAGTCCACGCGCGCACTGCATGCGTTAATCCTAGCACCTTCAACACAGACCAATTACTCCATATATCTATATTGTTCATAATCTCAGATTATCACGCATTATGCCTGTGCATAGTTCAAGCATGATTTGAAGGAAATAATCCATCATAATGTGAGTATAATCTCAAATTATTCACCATTATGCCCCAACCCTAATCCTTGCTTTTACACTGTGATCATGATGAAGAGGTTAGAAGTGAGGGTGCTTTGGATTATAGCAATGGTGTAGCACTGTAATTTACCTTTTTACCTTGAGTTTTCAAAGCAGGATAGATTTACTTGAAAAGATATGGTTTAATGTAACATGTCTTATCCTATAATAACACTGGCTTGGTTTATTGCTAATATTATTGTTGCCCAAGAAGAAGGGGACATAAGCATATTATAGTAGTTTAACCAACAACACTGTAGTGTTCCAGTGAAAGCATCTAAAGATACTCTACAACAAGAATCCTACAAGAGAATATACATTCTTAGACTATTTGATTTCCAATTACCATCACAGGAATATATCTGAGGGATAGATGGTGATCTATATTCACCACAAATACATGCCATTGCACTGTCTGTTTTTACAATAGACAATAATTGTGATTCCTGAATTATTCCATATATACATGGTGTTTCCAGCAAAGTCCACAATGATACCATGTACCAATGTGGTAGTACCCCTGCCAATACAACAAGAAAATAGAATATATCCTGGACTAAATATATGCTTTTGGACTGTTTCACACTGATGCAATATTTCTAATGCAATATTATATCTAATATGATCAACACTATACCACAGGTAGTACCAGAATACAATAAGCTCTACCATGAACTAGGTTTACAAATTTAAATACCAATGGTATTTCCAGTGCCATGTATTTTTACACCATATGCTACTTTGATTATACCACTGGCAATACTAGAAAACAACAGATTCTACTATGAATTTGATTTTTGTTTCCTGGATTATTGGTTGACAAGTGGTAATTCCAGTGTAGCATTCTTATACAATGTGTGAGCATGGTTTTACCAGGAGCAATACTGGGGGGAACAATATTCTAACACAGACTAAAGATGTGTTTCCTGAATTATTCTGGGCACCAATGGTATCTCCCCAGGAATACATTACAGTCATGCACCACATTGGTTATACCACTGGTCTTCCTGAAATAAACTATTCTGTATTATGTAGGTATTTTCTGTGCAGTGGATTTTATACCATACATCAAGTTGGTTATACCAGTGGTTTTCCCAAAACAAGGCATATTCTACCATGGACTAGATTCTTGCTTCCTGTACTTTCCCCAAGGCATAAGGTATTTCCTGTGCAGTGTATTTAATACCACACATCAGGTTGATTATACCAGTGGTCTTCCCAAAACAAGGCATATTCTACCATGGACTATTTTGCTTCTTCCTGGGTCACTGGTGCACTAATGGTATTTCTCCAAAAATCTTTTCTAAACTGCACACCACTTTGGTTATATCACTGGCAGTACGCAATCAAAATAAAATCTACCATGGACTAGATCTTTAGGTTTTAGATTGTTTGTTGATCACCAGGTAGCACTTTCAACCCCAGATAGTGTCATGGCTATACCAGTGGTCATATTATAAGAAACTGAACTCTTCCATAGTATTGTCCAAAATAATATATTTGGCTGTAGTTGTTTCCATAATATTACCCAAATGTTTTATTCTTTCCATCAGCAGTTATTTACTACCAAATGCCATGTAAAACAACATAGCAGTCATGTCAAATAGCTCCCTACTGTTTCCATGGTCATTAATGTGGACTCTTTTTATATGTTTGAAGAACTATATAATACTCTGGTATTGGAAAAAATGTCTAAAGACTTCCATCAAAGCTACTCAAATTTGATTTTTGCTGGTGTAGAGGTTGAACATACCAAGCACATATACTGCAACATGAACTACCTTTTTGGATAATTCCATGAGATATACCAAGGTAAATAATGTCATCTAAATATTTTTTGGTTAGAGTAGATGTGTTGATAAAACAGTCTGGATGGTATTTGTTGGATGTATAAATTGATTGTGGTACTACCTTCTCTGGGATCATCGTGTTATCATCTGTTCTCACTGATGGTATTATACAAAAGCCCAGGACCCCTGGCACCTGAAAACTTCCACAACCAACTTGACTCTAATTCTACAGTCAAGGATCAGTACCAGAAAATGTTGGTAATACTATGATTTAAGAGCCTAGTAGGATAGTATTTTGTGCCAATAATTAGCCTATTGGACCACCATTTTGGTGGCAACTGAAGTGGGTTTGAACCACCCCAGCTATAAATAAGAAATAATTGTTTTGCTCTGGCATCAAGTATGATGCTTGGTTTGAGCTCATAGAAAACTTGGAGGTTGTTAGAAGTACATGTGAACTGGGGTGTTGAATATAATGGTCATGTGATTATAATGCTTGACTGTCAATCAATTTGAGATATTTGTGGGCTTTGCAACTCCTGAGATGTGTCCTCGATAAATAATCCATTTTCATATGATTTGATTACGATCAATTAGTGATATTGTTCCACCACCTGCAGCCATATACCACAACATCAACCGCAGCATTATAATGCCTAAAATTATATATAACTCCCAGCATTTTTCCATCCATTTAGTAATGCAGTATATAACTATATTTGGTATTGTATTTTTTGACCTTAGGTTAAGTCCCCCGTTTTCCTCCACAAACTGAACATTTGGGGGTGAACAGTAATTTTCAAGTCAGGCCTTTAAAGTTAGATGTGAGACACACTGTAAAATACTGAAAAATCCCTTTTATTTATCAACAAAATCAAAAATACTATAACTTGTAGTGTTTTAAACAGTCACTGTATTGTTTATAATGACTAACACAGGTACCACACATTGAAATTTCAGGTACTAGGTTCAAGGACCAATCAGGCAAATACCACTATCAGGAGAACAAGAACTTCGATTATTGGTGGCAGTGGGTCACAGAAGCAGCATTTGGATAATACAGACACATACTTGTGTTTAACATGCTTAACTACAAGTTCAGCAAACTTATCCATGTTAAAACTCTTTTACTGTCTCTTCTCTAGTACACATTCCTGAGCCTGCCATTCTATAACTGTCTTCAGTACCACAGTTTCTGCATCAGGAAAAGCACTATTGCTATTTAGGAGATGTTGGTACTAAACTTGCTATCTGTATATAGACCTCCTACCTACTACTTAAGATACATAGTCAAAATTAAAGCTCCATCTATATACACTAGGTGCATGACCTGTAGACAGCCACAGGGCACAAAGAGCTCTAAAAAAATTCACCCATCTCTTAATTATAGGTGGAGGATGGCTGTCCCTTGTTACTAGATAATTGCTGGCTTTAGGCTTGGCTCTGATAATCACATGTGTGGAGCTGACATATTTAAATCTGTTTGTAAACATGCTCTTGCAGATCCACCAGCCCCCAAGTCCCCACCTTCAACAATTCTGACCCATTCACTCAGATACTATTTCCCAGTGACTCCTCCATTCCCAGCTGTGCCCCCACTGTCAGAACACAAGCCATGGATCAGTGATAAGGGAGTTTTTGGCAACCATCAAAAGTTGCTTTCATGGTGGCAGGTAAATAATCATTTTTTCTTTTGGAAAATCTGCCACCATGCTCATGTTTATCATAAAATCATTGTTCTGAGTTCCCAATTGTTCGGCTTATGGTGCATGATTTCCTTGGCATTCCCACTACTTCTGTGGCAGCTGAATGCATGTTTTCAAGCTTTTAGCATATTAAACCACTCATTCCTTACTCAGCACATCAACTATAACCATCCTGATGTATACAAAGAAGTGGTCAGAGGATCCTGACTTATTTTACCATGCAATTGTCAAGCAATAGTAGTACTTGTGTGTACTGTTTATAGATTGTCTACATATACAGTATATATTATTTACAGTTAATTTTGTACATCCATATATGCTTAGGTGTATACATAATTCTATATATAATTAGAGAGCAGATTTGTTCCCACAAACATGCTTGAAGTTGATTAGCTAATTCTGCCACTGTGTCTTGGCTGTTCTGCTCAGTAATAGGCTCCTTTTTCTTACAGTTGACCACCACACTAACTTCAAAGGTGAAACTGGTAAGTTCACAACACAATGGATGTCTTATATAACTTTCATTAACATTGCAGCCAATCTGAAAACATGACATAAACTAGGTATGTTTATGTTAAGAGTGGGGTATTCATGATACAGGTAGGGTGACATATGCACATAGTAGTCAAGAACTCCATCAGCCTCACAGGGTATAATCTTTGCAAGCAAGTGTCAGAATGTATGGGTCATATGGGGTGTATCAGGGTGATCTGGGTAAGATCTGCAAAGAGGATGAATGACGTGAGAATCACACACATGAATCAGATAATGATGGGTCAGGAAGTGGCCACAATTGGTGACCTAGGCAATACATGTAATCCTAGTAAAATATCAATAGGATGAGCAGTACTATGCAGGGGCCAGGTATTCCAAAGTTGCATTTTTATAAACAATAATGTTTTTGGTAATTTACATTTAATTGGCACATTTGTGTAGTCTCACAGGTGGACTTGCAATTGGTTATCCCTGCTGTCAGATACCTGTCTGTTAACAAGAGAGTTAATCATTAGATGTCATTACAATGAAAGGATAACCCACC